CACTGTTAGTGACACAAGTACTACTTATTTAAGTGGCCTCATGGAAACAAGTGCCCTTATCTTCTTACAGAAAACCGTCTCGCAGATATGGGAGACAGATTTGAGTTTCCTATACCCTACTTGTTATCATGAAATATATCTTGTTTTGAATGGCCACTTCGAGTCGAAAGCATTCCCTTAGTTGGGTTGTCAGCCACTTAATTAATAATATATATATATATATATATATATATAACATCAGACTAAAGACGAAGGAATAATTAGATCATTTATTACGGCCTATAATCCTCAACTTGCAATCAACTAGACAATATGAGTACAATTCTTTTGATACATATCCCAATAATTGGTAAAAAGATTACCAGATGATAAAACAAACAGTTTTGATTCTTAGTTAAATTATTGATGATACCTTAGACAAAAGTCGCGAACACAAGATAGCTATATAGATGTACGAAATCCTTATTATAGGAGTTGATTTACTTGAAAAAGTATATCGTCAGATTCAAGCCACTATCTCGCAGCTTATCATGCTAGAGAGTGAGCAGAAATTTCTCCCATTTATACTAGAGTGCATATTCTCTTATAAACATAATCTATGAATTTGTAGACATGTGCTGACATGCAACATACTAATTATATCAAAAATTTGTAGAAGTTTTATTACACCATCCGCGCTACCAATCGTTAGCCTAACCTTTTATTGGTTAAATGGCCTATAAATCGTGCTCCGTCGCGCTGTCGCAGGTCTAAATAACTTTAAACACCGCATCCTCCTTACCCAGTTCAACATTACTCCACCCTACTGACGAGCTTCGGGAATGATTAGTATTGCACATTATCTGTCTAGAAGCAAAGACGAAACAGCTTTAAGATTCTGTTCAATCGAGTTGGGAGTGGTGGTTTGCTTCTGATACGCATACACAAGTGACCTAGATCTCTTGCACCACCAAAAGCTTTCAATGAGTTGAAGCTAAAAATTCTTGATTTACGAAATTGCAGAATCATGTGCGCCGAACAGCTACTACAGTGAGCACTTATGAGGTATAGCTTTTCAAGAACCTAAGTATTTTCTTCAAAGTCCACTTTACGGGACCTCTGAAACTCCAGGTTATAACTTGCTTTTGCTATACTCCGTCAAGTTGAAGGTGCTCACATGTAATGCTCCATTGTCACTTCCAATCGTCTTCTTTGGAACCCGAGATTCGTATGCGGCAAAACCTTAGTGTTAGGTGAATCAAACAATATTTAAGACAAAATTAGCTGAGAAGGAAGATGCATGCGAATTATTCAATGCTATTTAATCACATTTGACATAATCATTCTTACCCTGAAGAAAAGCAATTGACCAATTAGAACTCTTCACCAGGTAACTTCCAGCCATAATCTCCCAGTTATAGAAACGGTCATAAAAGGTGATGTCCGCATGAGGATCGATGAAGTCTTCTATGAGCCTCAATATCTTATGGTACTTTATTTGGATGATGCACACCATTTTATACAAAGCTTTTTTGTTTTTGATAATCTGTAACTTTTATTTCTGCGGAATTAACAGGCGGCACTTCAGCTTCGGCCAGCCAACTAATGGGTAAGGCAAAAAAGCTTACCGTTTTGGGTTGACTACTCCAATATCCGAGTCTAAGAAGAGAACGTAATCATAGTCCTTAATGGTGTTTGCAACTATACAATGCCGTCGAAAAAACT